CTCATGTTCACTATTGAAATTCACAAACTTAACTAATCAATATAATGCAATATATAATATAATAGCACACTTAACAACAAATTTGAAACAATACCATTCATTTCGTAAAGAGCAAGAAATAGCGGAACTTTTCGAAAGCATATTCTACAATACAATACATTTTTTTTAAAAAGCAACAAAAAGAACATTATGAAATTCAATGAGAAACATCGTGAAGAGCAACAAATAACGGCAAAAATTATTAAGCATTCACCTAAAATGCAAAATTATGAAAATGAAATAAGTCCCACTTAAAACGAAATAAATCCCACCCAAAATATAAATTTAGGGGTATGAAATAACTCCCACTTTACAAAACGAATTTATTCCCATTCAAAACGAAATAAGTCCCACTTAAAATAAAAACGCGTAACGAAATAAGTCCCACCAATTGACGAAATAAGTCCTACTTTTAAAACCGAAATAACTCCCACTTTCAAAATAGCAATTTTTGGTGGGACTTATTTCGTTTTTAAAAGTGGGACTTATTTCGTGGGAGTTATTTCATAGACCCGTTTTATTTGATAGAATTGACAACAAAAACCACGCTGTCGAGTTTAAATAGCGGCAAATCAGCTGCACTTGATAGTAGTTGGTTGAATAAGGAAAATGAATTAGCAACAAGAGTTTACGGGATGTACATAGCTCAGTGGTTAACGCTTCTGACTTTGAACATCGAATACGCAGGTTCGATCCCTGCTGAAGTCTAGAAAAAAGAAGTCTGATGAGGAGATGTGGTGATCTCCGAAATAGTGCTATAACTTCTACCGCTTAGACTTTGTTGCTTATTCAATTTTTCCTAATAAACAATCGTGGTACAAAGCTCAATAAAAATATTTAAAGATATTATTTTTATTTTGATGATTTCATTTTATTTTTTACTTGTAAAATGGTCTACATTTTTGTTGTTGCCTTTTAGGCTTCAGTGACATCAACAGTAGTTGGCTACGTTTCATTTATGTCTTAATCAACATGCGAAGTTTGCTGCGATTAAGCCAGTGGCAGTTAGACACCACACTTTCTAAAAAACAGCTGGTTTCGCAAAACTGCCGCTGCCACTACGAATATCATCAGAAGTTGCTGGATTACTTAAAAGGAAAAGAAGAAAGAGATTTAGATAAGGCGAAAAGAGAAAAAAAGAAAATTTAGCTGTTGGAAACTTTAACCAAAAGGAAAAATTAATTACAAGACTGAAATTGCGATCAGCGTTGCCACAGACAAATTTTTTTACCTACCAAAATTTCCTACCATAACCAACCAAAACCTACCAAACATTTTTTTTAGTTTTAATATTTGTTTTCGATGTTTTAAACACATAGTTAACATAAACTAGTAAAACTAAAACACAACTAGATTAATAAAAACAAATTAACTGCGTATAACGATTCATTTTACTGTACAGGCTTATCCATATGTACATATGTATGTCTCTTGACACATACATACATATCGTAACTAGATACGAATAAAGACGCGAGCTCAAAAGTTGATAGCGAAAAAAGAGGCGTTAACAAAATCGGCGAAGAAAGACTCTTAACATAGGTGACGGCAAATAAAGCCGCGTTAACCTCTTTGACAGCGAAGAAAGACCCATAAACTTATGTCCGCGGTCAACTATATTTTCGAGTGCAACAGTATTCCCCAGAACTCCCTAAAGAGTTTTTCCGAGCTCTTTATTCGTGTCTAGTGACGATATTAGTATTATTACGTCGAAGATAGCCGTGCTGCGACCTAAGAAGATATATTGCGCTAAATCAAAATTGTCATCACTCCAACCTTAGGCTATTTAAAAAGCTCAGCACTTTGGATGAGGCCGTGTTCCAAATTTTAGATGGAGAAAGCAATCGTTCTCCAAGGTGTATCAATCTACGATTCATGCATCGTGGACAGGCACATTGAATATACTCTGGGGTTTCTTTCACCAGCCGACAAACTCTACAGTCCGCCTCTACAGAAAGACCCATTTAATTAAAACCCTACGTTAACTTGCAGTGTGCTGTCAGGGGGGCACCGAAATTGCGCATATGGAAACTGTGCATTTAGACATTATTTCGGTTTCAACCGAAACTGTGCATGTATGCTTTATTTCGGTTTTTGCCATATGCATTATTTCGGTTTTAAACCGAAACTGTGCATGTATGCACTACTTCGTTTTTTTTCATATGCATTATTTCGGTTTAAAAACGAAAGTATGCATATGCATAATTTCGGTATTTTCTCATATGCATTATTTCGGTTTTCAACCGAAACTGTGCATGTATGCATTACTTCGGGTTTCTCATATGCATTATTTCGGTTTTCAACCGAAACTATGCATGTATGCATTACTTCGGGTTTTTCATATGCATTATTTCGGTTTTCAACCGAAACTGTGCATGCATGCATTATTTCGGTTTTTGTTATATGCTTTATTTCGGTTTTCAACCGAAACTGTGCATGTATGCATACCTTCGTCTTTCACATATGCATTATTTCGGTTTTCATCCGAAACTGTGCATGTATGCTTTATTTCGTTTTTTGCCATATGCATTATTTCGGTTTTGAACCGAAATTGTGCATGCATGCATTATTTCGGTTTTTGTTATATGCATTATTTCGGTTTTCTAACGAAAGTGTGCATATGGATAATTTCGTTTTTTCTAATATGAATT